ACCCCTTTTTTATTTTGAGTTAAATTATGTGAATATATAAATCAGTACATTTAAGCAGGGAACTCATCTTAATTTCCATTTAAAAAGATATCTAGTAATAAACATAGCACCGATGAGCATATACATTGCATTTATATTACAATAAAGCTACCACTATACTATATCACTATACTATAATAATTACTGTATTGCGAACAATGGTTAACAAAATAAAGTTAATTTTTACTAAGAAAAATTAACATAATTTGAGGTATTGGTTAAAGTTAGAGTTATAAAATATGAAAAAGGACAGAAGTGATGAGACTCTTTGTAACTCTTTTATTAGGTGCAAATGCGAGAGAGAGCTCATTAATAAAAATAGACCCTTTTTATATGGGCTCGAATGATCGGCTTGTGTAATTATAGTCTATCTGACATTTATATATAAAAGTAGTCCTTTCAAAGTGCGTTATCCATACGAATATAAGTAGGAGTAAATACGACAAGTGCGAAGAGCATGAATAATACCTAGAAGTTCCCTCTCTTGTGCGGGGTAATTCTTCTCGGCATTGGACAGTTTCTTTGATTCGAACGCAATCGGATGCCACTGTTGAGTGGGATCTTCACCAGGTTGTAACAACACGGCACCAACACCAAAATCGGAAGCATCGGTCTCAATTCTGAAAGGTTTAGCCATATCAGGAAGCTGTAATACCGGGGCAGAAGTTAACAAATTCTTGATCTTATCGAAGGCTTCTTGACAATCGGAGGTCCATTTTATTGGACGTTTCTTGTGACCATTACCACGAGTCAGATCGGTTAGTGGGGCAGCAATAGCAGCAAAGTTTGGCATAAACCTTCTGTAATATTGCGCTAGACCAATGAATGAACGAACTTCTTGGACATTAGTGAGAGCAGGCCAGGACTTGATGGTGTTAACCTTGGAAGGGTCAGGTAATATTCCTTGAGCTGTAATCTTGTAACCAACGAATACTAACTCTCTCTTTCCGAATTCGCATTTCTTCAGATTTCCAATCAATTTCCCCTTACGCAACAGATCCAGGACATGTTTGACGTGTTCCTTGTGTTCTTCTTCTGTCTGACTGTAAATCAGGATGTCATCCAGATATACCAAAGCGAATTTGTCTAGACAATCACCGAGTACACTATTCATCAGAGCTTGGAATGTAGGTGGGGCGTTTGTTAAACCGAAGGGGAGGACTAGGAACTCGTATTGACCATATCTGGTGTTGAGAGCAGTCTTTTCAACGTCATTGGGGTGGATCTTGACTTGATGATAACCACTCTTCAAATCCAGACTTGTGAAGTAGGAGGCACCATGTAACCTATCCAAACACTCGTCGATTCTTGGTAATGGGTACTTGTTCTTGATGGTAACCTTGTTCAAAGCGCGGTAATCAATACACATTCTCATTTCACCATTTTTCTTTTTAACAAACAGAACTGGAGCACCTCAAGGAGAACTACTCGGTCGGATTAAACCCAAGGAAAGCAATTCATCCAGTTGTCTTCTCAGTTCATCCAACTCAGCAGGACTCATCTTGAAAGGAGACTTGCTGGTAGGTCTTGCATCACCAGTGTCAATGACATGTTGGACGTTTCGATCTGGTGGTAAACCGGGTAACTTGCTTTGGAAAACATCTTCGTACTGTTTCACCAGACCCGTCCAGTAACTATCTTGACTGGTGGAAGTTATGCTATACAATTCAGAGCCTACTTGTCCTTGGGTAGTATCTTTAATACAAACTAGGTAACCTGTAGCTTGCTGAGTTTTTAGAAGACGTTCAGTCTGCTTGTGCGAGATTAAATAGTTTAAATGAGAAAAGGCGAGGTCAGGTAATTGTGTATCCTTGTTATTGGGTAACAGATGTGTTTCCATTCCATGTTGGCGAAGGGTCCAGACATCACTAATCCAATCAGGTTGAGCATTACTTGATTGTAACCAAGATCGACCAAGTATCAAACCAAACTTGTTGGGGAACACATAGGCAGTAATTCGATCTTTGTATCCATTGAGATATTTTGACGAGATAGTTTAGTGTGTGTGTGTGTTTGAGTAGATAAGTGTAAATAAGACGAGTTTATATAGAATGATTCTCTGTTTAAACCCTTTATTGTATCCAAAATTGAATAGGGAGAGTCAGGTCAAAATATCTACTCTATTATAATAACATCCAGGGTTCCTGCCTGGATAGTGACCGTTTATGAATTTAATGTTATAGTTACAATATTGTACATATTGATAACTATGGATATTGAATCTTGATGATTAATATCCTAATATGGTAATTCTAACAGTAATTCTCAATTGTATGATTATCACTGAATAGATAGTTCTAATACATTGTGTGTATTAGAACTCATAATGGTACTTTAAAGGGTATTTATATTCGATGGAATGAGGTGAAATACCACATCCATTCAAATCAATGTCCATACAGACTTTGTGTTCAATAGAAATAACTTCACCGCCAGCAGTTTCAACTTGTCTGTTTCTAACCGGGGTAAATTGATCAGCTAAACGGGCAATCTCCGGAGATATATAATTCTCGGAAGCACCACTATCGATCAGGACATTGACAGTTTCACCAGAGGTAGTAGCCGAGTAAAGCGGTAACTTGGTATCAATAGAGTTCAGTTCTTGTAAGTGCTTCAGGTCCTTGTATTCATCTTGAGTGTATGATACAGATTCCAGTCTTGGAGTAAGTAAGTCTTGTTACAATCATTCCTTAATAAAGCCATATGGTTTGAGAATACATTTTGAGGTCTCAGAACAGGATATTTCTTTTCACTTAAAATGGAACTAGAAGAATAAGGATCAATATCAATTAGTTTATTGTCTTCATTATTATCATTATTATTATAAGTAGGGGAAGGGAAATGTGTATTATTATAAGGAAGTCTTTGTGTGCTACGTGGTTGTGCTTCCCGATTTTCAACCACGTTTACTGAAAATCCTGTTTGTTTTGTCTCTGCCTATTTTCATCCAATGCCTTAATATCCATACGACGAACAGGACAGTGGGCTTTAATATGTCCACGTTTGTTGCAGTAATAACAGGTGATGTTATTGTTGTTGCTTCCATTACTAGCTCTATTATTATTGTTGCTGTACCTCATGTTGTTGTTGTACCTGAAGTTGTTATTGTTGTTATGTCTACCGTTATTGTTGAATCTAAGCCTGTCATCCATAGCATGCATGTCTTCCATGAGGTCGATATCCATAGGGTCGCTAATGAATTGTCGGGCTTGACGAAGTTCAGGCAGTCTATTTTCTTCACCAGCATCAAAAGAGAGAGCATCATGAATCGCTTCTTGGAGGTTCTCAGGGCGTGTTCTTCTTAGATGTGACCTCATAAGAGGATCACTCAAAGCACGCACAAACTTATCCCTGGCTTCGCCATCATGCATATCCGGGATAGAGAGCTTGAGATCCATGAACTTGTTGATGAAAGTGGGGAGATCACCGGTCTGTTTAAGAACAGCCATCCTGTCACGAGCAAGTAGCACCGAATCCTCAGGGCGAAAGAAAGCTATTAGAAGTCTTTTCAATTTGGCCCAACCATGGGGATCTTAATCATGAAGGGGTTCTATAGATCTGTACTATGCATCAGCGCGTCCTTTAAAGAGATTAATGGCGTATTTGCCGGTTTTTGCATCATCCCAGCCTTGACCATTAGCGTATCGTTCTACAGATCTTATCCAGCTATCAATGACGAAAGCATCTCGAGTACCATCAAAATTGGGGGGAGTGTTTAGTAGGGCTTTGTTGCCTGAGTTCCTTTCTATGGCTTCCACCATACGTTCAATAAGAGCCATAGCATCTAGGGGTTTAGAGGAAGAGGGCTTGTTTTCGTTTGCCATATTTAGTAATTGTGAGAGTAACCAATGTCGAGAGTATTAATTGCAAAATTAACAACCAAATGCTACCAATGTAAATTCCAGAGAGACCAGAGACCAGAATAGGAAATAAATATATACGAATATAACCAAAGAACAAATATCAAAAGTAAACCAAATATCAAAGTCAATTAAGAGTTAAAAAGATGATGTTTATTTCCATTAAGTTGAGGGGATATTTATATAATACATTTGGTACCATGGAGATAGCGAAAAGTATACATGTGTGGTATAGAAGAAGCTAGAACAGAACAAACTAGAATATAGCTTTGCATAAGAAGTATCGAGAAAGGAATGGAATGGGTGTAATACAGAGACTACTGGAAAGTACCAGAATCGCTGGAGTCTGAAGGATTGTCTACAAACCGGGTATCTTGTTTGACCTTTCTACTTGAGCGCTTGCGAGTTGGAATCTTCGGCTTGAACTTACGCTTGTTGGTCCGGAGAGGCACGTGAGGGAACAAGCTTTCCATATATGGCTGACTATCTATTTGGGCATCGACAAAAATGTAAAATCCTTAGTAGACCAAGACCAGATATAGATAATTGTATAACCAAGATACTTCTTTTAATAGCAATTAAAAGAATACACGTAAAGTGAAGTTTATAGTAAAGATAAGATGAAGTTTATTTCCTATGCAATTTCATTGCATATTTATCTGTTTTTGAGATATGAATATAAGATGATATTTACATAGAGGAATTAAGGGATAGAGTATGATAGAGAATATAAATAGTATAAGGAAGTATGAATGATGAATAATACATAGTGAATAGAATATACGATAGAAATAATATGAAAGTAATATGATAGAACAATGGGATAATCATAAGAAAAGAATCTAACACCAAGGAATCAGATGAAAGGGAGCCAGAAGGATAGTCAGGATATCTACTTGTTGTTCATAAGAAGAGCTGTCAAATATGGTATCGTTGTAATACTGCATTCTAATTGGTCGGAGGATTGGGTCTAGGTTTTGCACGTTTATTTGCTGGTATCTTTGACTTGAATTTTCGCTTGTTTAATCGCACAGGCACGTGTGGCCACAAAGGTTCCAAATTGAGCTTGATCACGTCTTAAACACCGACAAAAACGTAGTTGCCCGATTGGCCAAATTGGATACGGCGTCCGCCTTCTAAGCGGAAGATTGCGGGTTCGACCCCCGCATTGGGTATTATTTTTATATTGGGAACGAGTGTCAACTTTCTTAATAGGTGGTTATAAGTTTTGTATGTAAGGTACTTGTTATTTAAGTGGTAGGTAAAAAATATATATCTATTTTATTGAATAAAAGGTGATGGATATTTATATGTTTTTACAAAGGGCTAAGATATAATTAATAATAAGAAGTATGACTGCTTCTTAGTCAGATAATGTATGAAGTGTGTATGTTAGTTGCTTTATAATCCATTGTATGTTTTGTAATGAATAATATTCCAGTTATTCTTTTGATTTGGCGTGTTTAGTGATGTATCTAGACTCTCCTGTCATCATGGATAATAATCTTCCCGTTATACTTGATCTTATAACGGATGTCCATATTATAAAATCCACAGCCAATGATACCAGTAGATCTATATTATTATATATTATAACAAGTAATAAGATCTTGGATAGTTCTTTTCCTTCTCTTTGAATAAAGAATTTTAGCTGATAGTCATTGACTTATGCACGTAGTATGCTATTATATAAATAACTCAAACACCTCATGATTGATAATTTCATATGATTTGCTTGATGATTGTTCATTATGACATTTATTAATAATCTTGACTTGTACAACTTGATAAAATAGGCGACAATGTTGTATCAGAATCTATCCAGATCCTCATCTGTAGTTCTATCTCAACTGTCATACAATGATCTTAATTGTATTACCTACATCGACACTCTCATATTCATACTAATGTCTATTGAGTACATAAACTCAGAAGGAAATAATTGGAAGTCAATGCAGTTAGTATATTGATCCGCTCAGTATAAACTACTTTCATACCGATTCAGTAATGATCAATACCTTAAATCCTCTAATACATCTTCCCAATTAATACTTCTTTAAACACGCCATGCAGAGTAACAAGAGTATCCAATAGATGGGCTACGATTCATTAGAAGACTTATATGTATTCATCTCAGATCAGATCATCCTCATGATCTCCCTTTTTATTGACACTTGATAGGTTGTTCCCCTGTATTGACATCCGTCATTGGATCATGTCAATTCACACACTCATGTATGTTCAAGATCCATTCTCCATATAACTTTATAATATAAATACTCTCATCCATTTTGTAATAATAAAGAGCATCCATCTTTCTTTCGGTCTGATTCACTTATCTGTTCCTTTTTACACTTTTTTCTTTTATTTTTTGAAGTTGAATATACTCATATATTCATCAGACAAGGGTAGCTAAGTTTTATATGCAAGCTACTTTTGTGCTTACGAAATAAATTAATAGATGATGGGTATTTGTATGCATACTATTTTGGATGTTCTTTAGATTAATAATCTTATTCATTTCGATCTGTACAAATTGATAAACAACCGACATCTCATTGCCATAAGTTGCCATCTTGGTCTTGAAAGCGATGGATTTTCACTAAATCCTCGAACCTCTTTTCATTTTTCGATCAAAAGAATACCCCTATTGTAATTATTGGTAGTTTCAAAGAAAGATATCACTATAAGGACTTTCAGCAGCCAATATATAGTTTACTAAGACTTCTTTTATGACAACAACAATACAGATATTAACTAACATAACAATTATAATAAATAGTTTATTACCAGATAAAAGGAGAAGTAATACTAGACGCAGGAGCTGAATATTGAAGCATTGTCTTTATTTTTATGCTTGACTAGTTGTATTCCGAAGATTTAATTTTGGTAAATGCTGATATTCCACAAATAAGAAGTATTAATAGCACTACTTATAGTCCTTGTAGGACTACTACAACCAACAATAGAGTAGCAATGTACTGGAGCTTGGCTGGATAAGTTATACTTGACGAGGGTGTGTTTGTAGTTTGTGTAGGAACTGCAATATTCAATGAGGTGCTACTAGTACTAATACTAGATGGAATCGCTGTACTAGACGATTGTATAACAGTAGATGCTGATATTAGTACTATTGAGAGAGAACTCGTTGTAGGTACAGCTGAACATATTGCTTGAACTGTTGCTGCTTGAATAGAGGCATCGGATGCATATTCGGGACAGAGGTTGTAACACTGGTGTATCAATTTCTGGAAGGAAGACGGTAGTTGAGTTATTTCAAGCCGTAGAGTATATATATACTTGTGGTATTGAGATTACCTGTGCTTCACATTGACAGGCATAGTTTGATGGACCGCAACCATGGAGAAGTGTTTCTTGAATTGACTTACATGCCTGGAAACTGTATAAATAATAGAGATAAAATACATATATATTTGATCTGTTATCTAACCATAAATATTTATTACATACTTTGCCTCTGCTGCACACCCTATAACAGCTGTTGCAAAACCAATTGCAAAATGAAATATAAGATAGATTACAGAGATCTTACTAATTATATTTGAATAAAGCATAGAGTAATATACTATTGCTAGTGGGAACAAGAAGTAAATATCTATAAACTACCAAAGAAACTTTATATAAACCGCCATTCACCTCTTATCGATTCTCCTTGGTTGTATTTAAATCGATTACATGCAGAAACTAGGATTATGGCATAGAGAAAGGATAATCATGGATTGTGATTGTCTGTACTACCTTGATACTACTTCAACCACTAAGATAACTAATACTCTGCTGCAATGTCTATCACACGGCATGGACCTTAATAGAAACACCCAAAGTGTTCAAATATATATATATGCTTAGTAGCTAATGACATCCCATTCAAGATGGTTATTTGCCGTGAGGTTTACTACATTATTTAATCAATAACTAGTATCTTTAATAAAAGCAGGAGTAAGCAACATGAGGGCTATTCTGCATATTTTGGCTGCCATTTTATGGAGTGGGAATATATATGTATGTGTGTGAAGCATTGAACCAAACAGTATGTTCAAATCAATAACCCTATGCTGATGGGGATAAGGTAATCATGGATTGTGAACCATATCCATTCGTCTGCTTGTATAACCTCCACCCCTTGAGAAATACAGATACTATAATTGACTTGTGTACAATCTATACAGCTCTCTTAGACCTTAAGAACAACATCCGTATTAATGCAATTGGTCTGATTAACACAGGTGGTCCAGTCATAATATTGTGTGTACAAGACAAGGGAATGAGAATACAAACGAGAACGGGGACATTTAAATCTTATTTTTTTTAATAAAGAATTCCTCATTTGATCGGCCATCGCATACGCTGAAGCAAAGTTCAAGTAGGAAGCATATAAATAGTCTATATTCAATCAGTATCATCTAATCATGCTGAGTAAGTAATCAAATAACCAATCATTCATTATATGTAGGAATCTATTGATCCAAGATGAATGCATAACAAGTATTATTCAGTCAAATCGCTGTTTTATGTCCAATTCTGCAGATAAGTAAAATGATAATGTTGAGTTGAAAGACATACGCAGGAAAAGAGGCTGCATTACACAGAGTACCTTTTCTTCTTGATATCCTAAGCCTATAGTCCCGGGGACTGGTATATTAGCTAAAAACAGAAATATTAGGGAATCGACACACTTCATATTATCAGAGATACTTTACATATATAATAAGATGATCAATACCTGTTACAAGTTGATCAAGTTGATTCAATGTAGCGTATCAATTTAGTAATGTTATGTAAGTACTCTTTATAGATACAATTCTTAACACCACCATAAATGCTAGAACAATTGCTTGCATGAATGGGTGATGCTTATATAATGGGATGAAATCACCAACTGGGTATGAATTCTGCTGGTGTACGATGATGTTAGAACAGGTTCATCTGCTAATTAACTCATTCGTATTTAGGGTACAATGATATCATATGATAATATTTAATATATGTACACAGCAATAGCTCCATTATATCAATTCAGAGGGGATGTGGGGGGGGGGAGGGAAGAACATGAACAGAAATCCTGGGAACTCTTACTTATTATAAATAGAATCATCTTACCCAAACTGGTAACAGATACATAGGTAATCATAAGACTAAATGCAAATAAAAATAAGCTCTTTCTTCTCTTTTCTTCCTTTCTCTTCTTATTTCTCTCAATGAAAACTAATTGCATTCATATTGATACCGAGAGCATACTCAAGCCATCCATGGAACACACCAGCAGTGGTGGTGTTGCTGACATTGAAAGGAGAAAGGGTTCTGTGACCTTTGACTTGCCGCCTGTTACAATGGATAATGAGTTATTATCACCTGCATCACCCATCATAGATATAGCAGCCCAGTTAATTCCTGATACAATGTTAGTAGCCCTATTTGATCGTGAAAATGAAATGAAAGACTTGGTGAAATTTAACCGAAATTATTTTCTATCGGTTCAGTCCTATTTAGGTCTCAAATGGAATCGATTCATCAAGACCCTGTTCTTTCCTAGGGCAGAATTTCCTGACAGTGAGTGGATGAAGAGGATATCTAATGCTTTGAAAGATTCCCCTATTTTATTAGAGAAGTTCAAGGAACTAGTAGGCTATATTGGTGATGACACAGCAGACAGTGATTCAAATGACAATTACTTCTCTAATGCTAAATTGGCCAAACTACGAAACTGCCCTGAGAAGCTATCGAAAAAGGCATACCCTCAGTTCTTCATTAACTGCGAAAACACGTTTGAGAATGCCACTCTTTATAATGAATTCGTGGATTTATTGTTACATGTGCCAGAATCAGAAATACCGGATGATATCTGGGAGACCAAAGTACTTGATCTCTTGCAGAACTGGCCCAATATTCTTGAACAACTTCAGGAGATCGTCGCTTATGAGACTGAGGAGGATTAATATCGATATAAATAAAGATAACATTAGTAATCAACACGAGTGGTTGTGAACATCAACATATGTATTACCAACCACATATGGGAATACAGACAATAATTGACACTTTCTGTCTTGTTGACTGGGCCGAATGAATAATGTAACAATTAAATTAAGTATAAGTCCCGTTTTAAAGTATTGGCCTTTTATCCTGGCCTTTTACCTTTAAGTGATAAACATCT